TAAAATATCATTTTCACTGATCGTTTCAAGGATCTCAAAGGGCATGTGATACAGGTTTATCATGAACCAGGCTGATAGCGAGGGGCAAGAGAATTTATTTTCCTATAATTCCATCAAAGATCAAAGTAATTTCACTTAAGTCAAAGGCTAGGACCCACTCGGCATGGTGAGCTTAATTCTCATAGAAGGACGTTCAAAGACACAAAGTTCTTCAGTAAAAGCTGCAGCCAGATTTAACTTCTAACATTTCCTTTTGTTTATCCAGTGAGATCCTTGAAAACATTGCATCCACATATCATGCATGTCATTACTTAACAAGTATTTCCCAAGACAGGCTTTCTCATCTTCTCGCTGTTTATTTCAGTAAAAGATGGCTCTTGAACAAACAGTGAAAGACCTTCAAGCTCAAAACGCCCAATTCCAAGAGATGCTTCTGAACTTAGCCAAGAGGCAGAAAGAACTGATGGCGCTCATCACCAAGAAGAAAAAGACTAGGAAATCGGCTGGTATCCTCAACATGGGGAGAATATTCAAAGGTCCCGCCAAACAGGTTCAAGCTTCTGACTTCCCATCAGATGAAGATAACAATAAAAAAGAAGACGGTCGAAGTATTAAATTTGAGGGGGAAGCAACCTTGGTTCTGGTTAAATTCCTGATTAAGAAGATTACTCTGATGAGAAATATCCTCCCACTGATGATAGATACAAACAACTGGAAGATCGTCTAAATGCCATGGAAATCCAGAAAGTGCCTGGGCTGGATTTTGAAGAGCTGGGTCTTATCTCAGGGGTTACTATCCCTCCCAAGTTCAAGGTCCCTACTTTTGCCAAATATGATGGTGTTTCTTATCCTAAGCTTCATCTGAGGTCTTATGTCTGGAAGATCCAACCCCATACTGATGACAGAAAGTTATGGGTTCACTTATTTCAAGAGAGCTTATCTGGGACACAACTAGAATGGTTCTATCAGCTGGAAGGAACCAATATACGTACTTGGGAATACTTGGCTACTGATTTTTACAAGCAATATCAATACAATACTGGCCTTACACCAACTCGTGGGCAATTACAAAGTATGACTATGGGCTCTCACGAAGGGTTTAAAGAGTATGCTCAAAAGTGGAGAGATTTAGATGGAATGGTTCAACCTCCTTTTTCTGATAGGGAGTTGGTTGATATGTTCATGGGAACTTTAACATGACCTTTCTTTAATCATCTTATCAGAAGCTCTTCATCTAGGTTTACCGAGTTGATACTAACAGGAGAACCTGTCGAAAGTGGTATCAGAAGTGGGAAGATTCAAGTGGCTGCGTCTTCAAGTACCGTAAAGAATAAGTTCAATGGTAATAAGGAAAAAAATGTTGTGTATGGCCAGAAGGTTCGTGTTAGAAGTGATCGTAACCAGTCGTAAGAGCTGTGCTAATTTCCAATCTGGCACCTATACAACAACATCAACAGAACAATCAACATAGACCAGATGCACCAAGAAGACAATTTACAAAGATCAGTATGTCATTATCTCAGGCATTACCACACTTGTTGAAAGCAGAGCTGATAATGTAAAGGGACCCTCCTCAGAATCCCAACATCTCCTCTCCTCGTTATAATCTTAATTTGAAATGTGCTTACCATTCCAGTAGCCCCGAGCACGACACTAATAGCTACTGGGATTTGAAGATAAAATTCAGGACATGATTGATAACAAATAAATTGAGTTTGATCCTCCCAAGGCCGCATATGTGATTACATCACCTATGCTGAAGCATGACAAAGGCATCAGTGCTATTGATGATGTTTCATATGTTTCTACTGTAGATGAATTGACTATTCCCCTCTCCATTATTAAGACGAATCTGTTGCAAGCCGGTTTATTTTCGGGTTGTATTGAAATATGTTACTGTTGCACAGTCCAACCTAGTGGCTGCCCGTTGCTGAAAGAAGGTATTCATCGTCTGATGGAAAACCATATCATTATAGTTGAGAAGATTCCTTCTATTGAGAATTTGTTTCAAGACTTATCTGTAATTTCTGGAACTCCTATCAGAATCACTACCAAAGGCCCTGTTAAGATTAAGGCTGAACCCATAATCTCTCCTCTGATAATCATTGCACCTAGACCAATTCCATATTCCTTGGAAAAAGCTGCCCCTTGGAACTATGGAGCCGACGTCTACTATCATAATGTCAAGAAAAAACTATCGACTATTTAGAATGAAGGCACTGAAGTGCTGATCCCAACATTGACAATATTGTTGGGACCAGTAAGGTTACTAGAAGTGGAAGGGTTTTCTCTCCGGAAATATCTCTAAAGAATGTCTCCACACCAGTTCAAGTTACTGCTACTGAGTCAACTGCCGATACTCGGGGAAAAGAACAATTGGCGGAGCCTGGCCAGATGGAGGCACCTAAAGTAGTTACCACTGATGATACCTCCATGCAAGATTTGGAGGGCGTATTAAAGATTATCCGCAAAAGTGATTACAAGATTGTTGAACAGCTAGGACAAACTCCCTCCAAAATATCCATGTTGTCCCTCTTACCGTGTTCTAAAGCCTATGTACATGCTTTGGTGAAGTTCTTAAAATATGCTGATCAATTTGGAAGTTATGTTGCTATCCTAACTACTGCTAACGGGCTAGGCTTTTTTGATAACGATTTTGTCATACTCTAATTTTTGACCTAAGATCCCGCATTCCATCCGCATCATTGCATGGCAAGAGTTCACAAGCAATTCGACCTATTTTTGCCAATTCCCGAGTCAGATTTCAAAAATTCATAACTTCTTCAAATTTCAATATTTTGAGGGGTTATTTTTTGCATATGATTTTTCTTGACACCATCTACAATTTTTCTTTACAAGACAAGAGATGATTATGCATTGAAAAGCCACGAAAAAGTTATTAACGTTCGAAGTTGTTTCACGAATTTAATGGAATTTGATTCTTAATTTTGGACTATGTTTTATCCGACCATAAATTTTACACTTTCTCTTCTTTTATTTTTAATTCCATGAAAAAAATCCTAAAAAAAATATTTAGTTCATGTCATCTTAATTTTATTTACATTATTATTCAAAATATAAAAAAAAAGTAGTCTCTTCAAGTGTCATTTAGATTTTTATTCTTAAGTCCAAATTATAGTCTTCTAGATTTAATTTAGTAAAAATCTCAACAAAAAAAAAACATGTCTTAGCATTATTTTATTTTTAGCATTTCACTTTGATCACAAAAAATATATAGTTAATATCTTTTCCTTTTAATTCTTTTAGTTATTATAATTTTCATTTTCTTTCTTTCAATATTAATCTTGATTTGATTCTAATTTTAATTCAACTTTTTAGTTGAGTTATTATTAAAATTAAAATTAATTTTAATTTCTCTTTAATTTTCATGTTTTGGAAATTTTTAGTTTAATATTTTTATTTTTATTTTTTGTTATTATTATTGTTATTATTATTATTATGCTATTCCTCTCCTTGTAAAAAATATCCAAACCTTGCTTCAATTTTCATCCAAATCTGTCCACCAAAACAACAAAGTATATGAAAACAAAATCAGTCCAATATTTTGAAAGAAAGAGAGGGAAAATACATGTATGGTTACATGGAAAAAGTCAGAAAAAATGCAAAGTAGAAAAGGGACCTTTCAATGATAATTTTACTGCTGCACATCAGTCCAAAAATAATGCCCCAAAACTGTAGTTTGCTTGCTGTCCAGAACAAACTGCTCCAAACATTACCCAGAATGGTTAAATTTTTCCTGCATCAAGAAAGCATAAGGCAATTGACATAAACTAGAATTCAACTGATATTTGGCTCCAATTTTCCCTCTAATTCTATCATACATTCACTATAAAAACAGAAGCAAAAAAGAAAAAATGGGAGGGAAAACATATATATAACAGCAACAACATTCATAGCCAAAAAAAAGAAAAAGAGCTGAGAGATTCGATTATGCTGGCGCCAAAACATAAACTTCAAGAGTTCGTTAATGCACACACTGAATGTCAGGTTGATGATCAAGTGCCAAGAAGTTCACCATCTAATTCTCTTGTTACAAAGGGGCCACTTCCTTGCTGGAAAAGAATTACAGTCCCTACTTTGAGTTGGATAATGCAGAGGTAGTGAAGGAGCTAAGTAAAAGGAACAGAACAACTACTGATGAAAAGTTGTGTAGGTGTGAATGCCTAGAACCCATATGGCCTTCTAGGAAACATTGTTTGTCTTGCCACAAAACCTTTTTGATTGATGTTGAATTTGAGGTACACAATGATGGCAAATGTAGTGCAAAACTTCTGGCCTTGGAGAAGAATAAAGATAAAAATGGATCTTCTAAAGGAAGAGGGAACTTGAAATGTGATACCTCACATGAAAAATCCAGAGCTTATGCAGAAACAACTGGAAACTCAATCAATAAATGTTCCTCACACTCTCCTCACCGACGCATAACAAACCCACACACAGAATCGTTTCAATTCAACTCCAACCTACTCCACCGCCATGACGACGACGGCGCCGCCACCAACTCCGCTGTCACTCGAACTAAAAACCTACTGGTGCCACGAATGCGACATGAGCGTCTCTCTCACTTACTCCCACACTCCCTCTCCCTCTCCTCCCCTTTGTCCTTAATGTCACACTCATTTCCTCGAACTCATGGACTCCCCTTTCTCCCAAAACAACACCGATTCGTTTCTCCATTCTTCCTCCTCCCTCTTCGACGTCGTTTTCCAAGACGCGCTTTTACTACTCGCACCCTCTCCCCGTAAAATGCACACCACCGAAACGATCCTTCCTATAATAACCATTACATAAACTCTTTCTTTCGCTACTCGATCCAAACGGCTTCGTTTTATGTGCGGTTTGTAAGGACGCTATTTCCGTTGACGAAGAAGCTAAACAGCTTCCTTGTGATCATCTTTATCACTCCGATTGTATTACTCCCTGGATTCGTCTTCGATCTTCTTATCCTCTCTGTCGATTCCGAATCTCAGAGGATGAAAATGAAGATGAAAAATGACGAAGATGATGAAGAGGATTTGAATGGTGCCTCTAATGTTTCAAAAAGCCGGGTTTCTCAGGAAAACACTGATGGTGATGGCATATGCCACAAATCAGGAAAACCAACTCAGAGTTTAGCTGCAAATGAAAGCAATGAAACAGGAAAATCCAGTAAATTAGGAGAGCAAAGAGATGGAAAGTTATCTTTTTCTAATTCAGTTTCAGATATGGGAGTCTATGGCTGTTGCGTGGTTCCTTCATCGTCTTTGAGACCACTATTTGGTAAAGTTTCTCATATCTTGAGGCAACTAAAATTAATCTACTTGATATGGATGCTGCACTTCCAGAAGTTGCTATAAGACCATCGAGGGCACAATTGGACAGAAGACAGGCTTGGCGTGCATTTGTAAAATCTGCTCAGACTATATATGAGATGATTCAGGCAACAATTACGCTGGAAGATATGATTAAGACGGAATTCTTAAGGAATGACTGGTGGTACTGGTCATCATTCTCAGCTGCTGCCAAATCTTCTACTTTGCCTTCCCTTGCTCTTCGAATATACTCTCTTGATTCTGCCATTATGTATGAGAAAATGCACAATTCAAGTTTAACTGACAGCTCTGATCCTCCTGCCGTAGCAGAATAGAAACTGGTGATCACCGTGGATGCAGATGCCAAACCTCGTATTCCGATGCTGCCGCCTCCGATCTGGTATTAATTCCACTCTACGCCCTACGTTGTGCTTTAAATTTGAAGTATTGTTTTTGTAGTTTCTTTTGATTGTTTTTGAGAATGAAGAAGAAAGGTGGGAGAGGGAAGCGTTACTTCTGCAACTATGGCCGTTTTGAGATAAAGAATAATAGGGTTTGTCTTCAACCCAATTTTGTGAATTTGGAAGATGGGTCCGGACCCCCCTGACCCGGTCCGGCCCAACATTTTGTTTTTTGTTTTTCTTTATTTGTTTGTTCTTTTTTTGACATATCTTTTTGTTATTAGCTTTGGCCTGTTAACTATCATTACCTTTTAGCCTAGCCCAAATTACTCTCTTTACTGCCCCCAATAATTGTTAGTTACAACATTTCAATTTATTTATTTTAGATAATAATTAGTTTAGTTAATTTAGTTATTTTATAGATTTAATTAAATAATTATGTATGATTTAACTAGATAATCTTAACTATTTAGATTAATTTTAGACTTAATTTAATAACTTTAGAAATTTCAATTCGTTTAGATCTATTTTATAACTTTAGAACTTCTAATTAGTGTAGATACATTTTGATAACTTTATAATTTTAATTTAGTCTTAGAATTTTAATCTTTAGTTTAGAATTAATTTAGTTTAGTATTAATTTAGATTTATTTTATAACTTTTTGTTTTAGCTTTAGTTTAGTAAACTTTAGAATTTTATTTTGTTTTAGTTTTATTTTAGTAACTTTAGGATTTTATTTCATTTAGATTTGACTTAGTAAATTTTAGAGTTTTATTTGCTTTAGTTTTTGACTTAATAAACTTTAGAATTTTATTTTGTTTTTAGTTTTATTTTAGTAACTTTAGGATTTTATTTCATTTGGATTTGACTTAGTAAATTTTAGAATTTTATTTGTTTTAGTTTTAATTTAGTAAACTTTAGAATTTTATCTGATTTTATTTAAGTTAACTTTAGAATTTTAGTTGTTAGTTTTAGTTTAGGGACTTTAGAATTTTATTTGATTTAGAATTAGTTTAATAAGTTTAGAATTTTAGTTGTTTAGAATTAGTTTAATATTCTTTTAGAATTTTATTTGATTTAGATTTAGTTTATTAACTTTGGAACTTTTTTGTTTTAGATTAGAAACCTTGGAATTTTTATTTAGTCTAGATTTGATTTACTAATTATAAAATGTTTAATTTAGCTTAGATTCAATTTAGTAATTTTAGAACTATTTTTGCAACCTTAGAATTTGTAGTTAGTTCAGAATTTCTCTAGTAAGTAATCTTAAATTTTTAATATAGTTTAAATAACTTCTTTAGATAATTAGTTACATTCTCTTTTATTTTATTTAAATATCTTTGTCATTTTAATTTCTCGATGCCTTTAGGTCACTAATCTGTTTCGTTATATTTATTTTCTTGTGAATTTTGATTGCTTATATTTTGATGTCTATTTTATTTTGCTCGCTCGATTTAATCCAAGGGAAATAATTAATTTGTTGACTTCATGTCATCGAGTATCTAATACGATTATGTGAAATCCCTTCATACCTTTTTTTAGTTTCATTAATCTTAAGATGAATCTCCTACAAATCAATTTTCAAACTCACACCTTTTAAGTCAAAACTTCGACACTAGGTCGTCGCATCTTCAAAATCTCGTCCATACCCATTTTTTAGCCAAACGAACCATTTTAATCAAACAAACAATTTTTAACCAAAAAACAGATATTTCAAAAGGTTCCTGCGGAGTACCGCAGATGCATTGGGTGCTAATACCTTCCCATTGTATAACCAACCCCCGAACTCTCGATCTCTTTCAAAAATGCATTGTATTTTTATTACTTTTAAGTATTATTTTACATTGCATATTTTAGGGTTTTATTTCGCTCTTTTCCCTTTTCCTTTGGAAATAATAAAGCGCGGTGGCGACTCTTGCTTTTGTGAGTCAAGTTAATTAATAGCTTGATCTCCGATTTTCACCGCTACAGAATTGGCGACTCTGCTGGGGAAAGATTGACCTCTTGCTGGTCCATCCCTAAGTGGGTTAAGCCTAATTTGTTTTATCTGTTTTATCATTATTTGATTGTTTGATTATATGTATATATTGTGATTATTTGGGTGTTGATAATATTTACAAAGGACAAGTCCTATACCCGGACTAAGTTACACTTAGGAATAGGACGGGCGGTATAATCATGTTAACTTTGAGGGAGTAATCCCGAAGAAGGAGGCATGAGATCCCCCACTCAGTGGAAGGCCCTTTTGAACGTAATATTTGTTTACCGAGTAGTCGGGAAGACATTATTATTTTCGACCTGGGAGCCAGAGAAGCTGGGAATCGTAGAACCCTAACCCATCTTGGCCTTTTAGGTGTAGCGCGGAGATTATAACGGAGTAATCCAGAAGTAATTGTTACGCGATGCTACGCTCGGATGAGTTTCTCTTGAGAATATTACTGATTATTGAGTAATCAAGACGTTGGTAATATCCGAAGGAGGAATGTAGACTCCGGGAACTCTTAGAACCTTGTTCTACAGGTGTGATTAAACCGTTAGTACATACCTTGGGGGTGTTCCTTACCTTGACTCCATGCTCGTGACGTTGAACCTTTCGACTTTATTTGTGACCTTGCTTGTGGTTGTTGCATAGCCATGCATTCATGCATCCATAAAACCCTTTTCACTTGACTTTGAAGGAATTTGGAGGTCTTTCTTTGTAAACATCACAAGTTTCGTCAAGCTCAATGGATCTTGGGTGTTGATAGGGCGAAAACCCTAATCCACCAAAATGGATGATTGATCTTGATGATAACTTGATCAATGTTTGGAGCCAATTTAAAATTCATCTTCTATCTTCATACTTTGATGTTTACAACTTAATATCTTGAGTTCCTTGAAAATCAAATAAAAACTCTCTTTTGCATATCATACATCATTCTACATTTTTTGTTTCACTGTCAAAGGTCTTTTTCCGAGTCTTATTTTTCCTTTGGTCTCACCAGTACAATACTCGCGCTAAGAGAACAATGGAGAATATCAAGCAAGAGGTTTCTGAACTCCGTAGAGAGATGACTAATTTGAAAGCTAGTGTGGAGCACTTAACTGGTTTGGTTGAAATTCTGGTTGCCGCCCAAGTTAATCCTTCTAGGAGGGAGGAAGTGATGATAAAAGTCTTCACTGAAACTCTAAAATCATTCTCTCATGAGAAGGTGATGGTTAATGCACCTAATGACTTTCCTGACAAGGTGAATGTGGGAGTGCGTCTAGAAGAAGATGTTGGAAAGGGATGTTCATATGAAGATGGTAGCTTAGCTAATGGTGTGAAGAAGTTTGATAATAACTTTTCCAAGAAGAGAACCAGAGGAAGAAATAATCATTGTCAGAATTATCATGTTTCTCCTATTCATCAACAGAATCAGCAAGTTCCTAATCAAAGGAAAACCCAGTTTGATCCAATTCCCATTACCTATACAGAGTTGTTCCCTATCCTGATGCAGATGAATTTGGTTCAGACCCGACCTCCACCGAAAGTTTCCTGAGAAGATACATTGGTACTACAAAGCTGATTTGGCTTGTACTTTTCATCAAGGTGCTCCTGGGCATGACTTGGAGGGTTGCTTTGCTTTGAAGATTGAGGTTCAGAAGTTGGTCAGAAGTGGTATCTTGTCATTCAAGGACGTTGGTTTTGAAGTTCAAATCAAGCATGCGCCGAAGAGTAAACACGATTGATAGTGACTTTGATTTTTGAAGGATGTTTTCGGTAATTCAAGTCCAGATGGAAAGCCTTCCTAGATTATTAACTTATTCATGCTTTTTGTAATTTTTCTTGTTTATCAAAACATTGTTTGCATGTAAGAACTTGTTTGCATCTGAATGATTATCTTAATACTACGGGTATGTTTGTCTTGAAGAAATTCATTCGTTTCACTCATATTTGTTTTCAAATTTTAAATTTCTTTTTGTATTATGATACCAACTTGTTGCCCATTCTCTTGCCTAGGCAGAGATTGAAGGGAGGATGATGATCTAAAAAACACAAAATCTCTGGTTGTATGCTTTTGGATAAAATCTTGTTGACGATGTACAGGCATTGTTTCAAATCCCTAAACACCGGAGATATAAGGAAGATAATCCCTTGCTAACCCCTTTTGAGCCTTTGAAGCAGAAGTTTCTTTTCTATACGAAAAACCTTGAATTTTAACCTGGGGCAGGGTAGTTTTTAGTTAATCTGACTGAGTGTTCAAAATTCATAAGGAAGATGTTTTTTGAAGAGAAACTACGAGGGCTATCCTTCATGTATAATGAATCTAGAGGATGTGGAACCACAATGTCATCCCTCACTCATCAAGAAACGAGGCAATCACAATCCTCTCGACAAGCAAAGACAAGCTAATGTCACACATTTTGTTCAAAAAGTCAAAAATCAAGAAAAAGAAAAGCCTGCTAAGTCAAAAAAAAAACATGAAAACGTGTGACTTAGGCAAAATTAAGGCATCCCGTTGGACTATCAACTCAAAAGAATTAGTTCAGGCAAAAGTTAGGGAAAATAAAAATTGCAAAGAAAAGGACTGCAAAGAAAAGTCCTCAACAAAGAACAAATTGGTGACTACAAACACGAAGACATGAGGGCGGTTTCTACTCCGAAAGCCTCGTCGTTTCCTTGACCGTCACAAAATCCTTTTGAGAGATGAACACTCATGTTGAATTAACTGAAAATAGGGTTGGAGAACATCATGAAGAATGGGTGGGCACCAAATATTTTGAGCCTTAAAATCTTTTTTCTAAAAACCATGAACCAGACCACGCTACAACCTTCAAAATTCCTAATTGAAGCAAGATTATTTTGAAAGCATACTTCAATGAGATAGTGTTCCTGACTCCCATGAATGTTCTAAATAGTTATGTTGGTATCATATGTTCTTCCTATACAAAAATAAATGGTGCTTTAGCT